TGGTATTAGATTCTAAGTGGTCCTAGAGACCTAAAGCCTAAGCTCTGATACCACTTCTTGTCGCGACCCAAAACCCACCCTAGGAGTTAGAGTGAACTTTGGACGACTAATCATGACTTGCTTGACAAACCAATCTGCAAAACCCACAGAGCATATACAATAGAGGACAAAAACAGCGGAAACATACTCTAACATGGTACAGCGGAAGTCTACCAAACCTCTATGTATAAACATACGTAAATCCAAGTTTACACAAAAAGAAATTCAAAAGAAAGTGCGGACAGACCCGCCAAAATACATGAATGTATATCTCTCATCTCACCCACAGCTCTATCACTCAGAATCTACAACCACTACCTAATAGTAGCCCTCTACCGGAGGTTCCTCCAAAGGTTCCTCAACGTACTCCTCCTCCACCCATGGACCAAGAGCACAGACATCAAAAGGAGCAGCCGCTCCACTATCACCTGCCAACATAAGAAGTACGGCTGAGCTTGGAATACTCAACGGGTACCAAATACTGACCAATAGTCATAGTATAAAAATGGCAATACATAAATCAGGAGCAATTCATATATGAAAAATAGGAACAATTCATGTCATACAAGGAAGTAAAGCAGTTTATATTCATCCTTGTATTTCGTAAAAGCCGATAAAACCCTTGAAAACTGTGCGCTTGACTTGACTTAAGTACCATTTTCGTGCTTGAAAACTCATCTTGTCTATCTTGCTTGATTCTTGTAGATCGTGTCATGTCATACATGTCATGCGTGCTTGCTTGTGGTCATGTAACTTGTGAGATACACTTGTGAAATACGCTTGTTAGATGCCTTGAGAGGGAAGGGAGACCCTTCTTTATGCAATGCACTTGAGAGGGAAGGGAGACCCTTCTTCATGATATGTATGTACTTGGGAGGGAAGGGAGGCCCTTCTTTATGCTATGCACTTCTGAGCGAGGGGAGACCCCTCGTGGAATGTTTGTTCTTGTTTTCTTGTGAAATGCGAGGTAAAACATATCGTAGGATATGTCCCACCTCTAATCATGTTCTTGAAAACCTCAGTAAATCATGTCATGCATGCCGTGCTCGTGGGTTCGTGTGCATACTTGCATCTGAATTTAAACATGACATTTGGGGGATTTCACAATGTATAGCATATAGCAATTTTTTTTAAACAAATAAACATTCATAATATTTTAGGAAAAATAAGAACTCATGCTAGCATAATCCCTAACAAGTTACATAAGTAATTTAGCATGCATTTTCTTGATTTATAGTTATTTCATTCACCTTGGCATTCCATCAAACATGGTATGTTCATTATTTGTTACCCTACAATATGCTTTTCTAAGTGGGTTATAATTCCATCATACATGTTTGTTCATTATGGATACAATGCCCTCCCCATTTCAATTAACACAACACAACCATTGGCATCCAATCGCCCATTCCATCTCCATCACGACATCCACACATCCCAACTCATAGCACAAGTATAGATGAAGGAAAATAAAGGACAATAGCAATGAGGGAAGAAAAACAAAGAACTATAACTAGGAGGGTAGCAAAAGGTACCGACCTTGACAAATGAAGGAAAGAATCCCCTTCCAAAACGTGCGTGTAGATGCTGCCCTAGCTTGAGGAGAGTGCTCCGCGAGTGCTTGAACCGGGATCTTGAAGCAATCCAAGCTTGAGGTGATCTAGGGTTCTTAAACCCTTTGATTTCTCCCCAAAAGCAAACCCTAGGTTAGGGAAAACCCTTCCCTTCTCTCTTCCTCTCTAATATCTTCTAAGTGTGGTAAATGAGCCCTAAAGGCTCGGGCAAACCTTAAGAGGAAAGAGTGAAACGCCCAAAAGACGAAAACACCCTTAATGAAATTTCTGTAAAAACACGAAGACCGAGCGATCGGTGGTTATGACCGATCGATCGGTTGCCTACCGAGCGATCGGTGTGTTGACCGAGCTCTCAACCAAAAATCAACGCTCTGGAAAATTTTCGCATACAAATTTTTCGATCAGTCGCTAGCTACCGATCGATCGGTTTTGGACCGATCGATCGCTCTATGGACCGAGCGATCGGTGCTCTGCAGGTCCAAATTATTTTGGCCATATCTTTTGACTCATTCGTCGGATTTTAACGATTCAACTTGTGTTGGGTTCATACTTCGAAAAGAAACATTTCTGATGTTTCAGAATTTTCAATTTCTTCCTTATTTAATAATTGTACTACATTAAAGGCACATTGGCTACGAAAGTGCCATGCATAAAACATGAAAAAGTCTGGGGCTCTACAATGCTGGTCAGCCCTGTATGACCTCGGCAGCGTGACTGGCTTGGGTTCCCTCAGCGTGACCAAATTCTTATCTAGTAAATAAGGGAGGAGTTGCGTCATGGTATATGGCATGGGCGAGAAAACTCTTCTTTTTTCTGCGCAAATGTCATCTACTGCGAGGGAAGCTGTTGCTGAGTCTGCTCAGGTTATTGAGGTTACTGGGGTAAATGGGAAATATGGATAGGCATTGTTGTCACCATTTGTATCTCATCCTCTCTTCTCCATGTATCTTTTCACGATGGTTGAGGACGACTAGAGGATGACACCTCCTTGGATCCTAAGAACATGTCAACTGCTCCCACATCTCCCATTGTAGCCTAAATCCTGGCCCCACATTTGGCCATAGTGCTGAAGTTAGAAATAGGTCGGGCTGCTAGCAGTCTTGAATGGATGCTTGAGTGTGGGAGGAATGTGGTCACCAACTCATCCTCGGGCAGAGGAGTGTTCATCTTTCCAGTATTTTTCCTCCATCGAGTAGAATATTCGATAAAAGATTCATTCTCTCTCTGAGTCATTCTCTCCAGATCTGCTCTCTGTGTGACCAAGTCAATGTTGTAAGAGTATTGAACGACAAATGCCTCACAGAGGCCTTCCCATGTGCGGATCTCGGCTGAGTCCACCTTGGTGAACCGCTGTAGGGCTGGTCCCTTCAAACTTCTCTGAAATAGCTACACCAACAACTTGTCACCGTGCTCTAGCTGGAACAACTCTCCGCAGTAGACTTTCAAGTGTCTCTGGGCATCCTTTTCTGTTGTATTTCTCAAATTTGGGCATTTTGAAGTCTCGACGCAAATGAATCTCCGGATGCAGACACATATCTCGGAAGTCCGTGGATGGTAAGTTGTAGGACCCCTGGGCCCTCTTCACCAATTACTCTAACCTCTCAATCCTATCTTTGTAGAAGTCTGGGGTATGTGCTGAGCTGGTTGATATACCTGGTTGCTCTGTATTCTGGGCAATCCTTGCCTCCTCTTCCTGATACTGGTCAATGTATGGTGGCAGAATGTTGGAGGATGGTTGGTTCAACAGTATTGGATTGTGAGATGGCCGGTTTGAAGGTGATGAGTTGTGAGATGATGGATTTGGAGGTGGTGGGTTGTGGGATGGTGGATTTGGAGGTGGTGGATTGTGAGATGGTGGATTTGAAGGTGGTGGGTTGTGAGATGGTGGATTTGGAGGTGGTGGGTTGTGAGATGATGGTTTTGAAGGTGGTGGATTATGAGATGATGGGTTTGATCGGTTTAAGGCGAGTGGTTCAGCGATCGGGATAGAAGAGGAGGACGGTTGCTTCCTATTCACGGTATTCAAGATATCCTCTATGATGTTTTTCAGTTCTAGGATGCCTTGTTCAGTTCCAAATACCCTTGCCTCTAAATCAGGGATTTGCTATAGTACATGTTGAGGAGATACTGGGCTGTCAGGGTCGGTTTCCACACCTTCAACAACTTGTTGTTCTCGATCAGTTAATCTCGTGCTTACTGGAGTCATCTTGAAGAGGGCAGATAGCTTAGTACTGCTTCCGCTTAGGGTGCTATAAACTGGGTGGTAATAAGAGGTATGTACAGATGAGTCAGATGACGCTCGAGATGCTAAATGAAGACTGAATTAATACAACAATGAAAGTAGTGATGCGACACATATATGATCTAATGGATGACGTTTTGACATGGGACGTTGCCCCTTGTCTGGTTATGAATATAAGTATGCACAAAATGATGGATGCGGAAAGTCCTAAGACTAATATATGATTAAACAATATGATGATGAGCAAAATGATTTAATGAAGTTTTTGAATTGACTTGAATCAAATAATTTTTTTTTTGATGAATTGAGCAAGTATACTCAAAAAAAGATGCGTCAACTCAACGTGTGTGACCCAATGGAATGAGTGGATAGAGATCCATTTCACTTATCTGGGTTGTTGGGAGCCAGAGCCCATTTGGTCTAGATCAAAATGAATCATGTGATTCCTTTAGAGTTTAGGGTTTTAACCCTCACAACATCTTATTGATTTAGAAAAGAATTGGGTTAGACCTATCTAGTAATCAAGGCTCACACAAGCTCCGAAAATGGTTAAGTATAGTGATAAGATTGTTCCTATACCTGAACAAGTGATACAAGAGTGGCTTAAACCAGTAACAGAATAGGGATAAGGTAGTCCCTCCTGACGGGTGTTCTTGGTTTATGCCCAAACAAAGACCTATAGTCTATATGCTTATGCTGGTGTATGTAAGGTTTTTGTCTAAAGGCTGATGAGCACTTGACCGTATATGCGACTCCTCGGTATAGAACATACCTGAAAATGGACGATTGGTGCAAGCGGGAAAGACTAGTCGCGTTTACTGGAGATAACCATCCCTCAGTCTATAATCAGTACTTTCCACAGATCTTTGGGCTCCAGCATCGGGGATAACCATCCCTCGATTGTAAGCTTACCGGATCTAACTAGATAGGTGAAAGGGTCCTTATTCTAGTATGCAATGAATATGAATATGAATACAATAATCAAAATCAAGCAATGAATAAAAATGGAATCCTAGGCATGTTGCTAAGTTGGCTAACAAATGTCCGAGATTCGATGAATTGATAGTAAAGTAAGAATATGTACAAAATTAGCAGTATATCGATGAAAGTAAAAGTTTCTGATGTGGTTTTCCTTGATCAGTTCAGACTTAGGTTTTGGCTTGAATACTGGTCTGCAAAACCAGAGATTCTGGGTTCGATTCCCAGGAAAGTCGCCAAGCTGTAGACTCAGGATTTTAACCCCACTCCCAATCAGGATTGAACCCGAGGAGAAATAGTGCTAAAAATGTTGAAAAGAGAAAGTCGTCACCTATTTAGATTGTGAGGGAAAATAAGGTCCCTTAAAAGGTTGGATAAGGCTTTGGTCTGAAAATAGAGTTCGAGGTAAGGATTCATTTGAGTTAGGGGAAGGTGTTAGGCACCCCTAAACTCTCATCCAGAGATGGTTACCTACTCCTTAAGTTTGAATTAAAGTGGGGGAAACCATAAGAGAAGCTTGTATTTCATATATATGCTGACAGATGTTATATGAATAGTAATGTACACGTTAAAATAAGCTGGGACAGGATAAGGGTTCTAACCTAGGTGAGCTGAACCCGATCAGGATTACCTACATATCCACTATTAGTGGAATCAAGCTACACGTAGTTCCAGAGGGGTAGTTGATGGTTTGTTTTGATTTGTTTGGATTGTGGGTGTTAGAAATGTCTTTGAATGCTAGGGTGTTTTTGAATGGTTTGGGCTCCTATTCAGGAGCGTTTGGGCCTTTTATGCTCTTGCCGGGAAATATTTGGACAGTTTTAGCTCATGTTAAGGAGCACTGAATAAGGGTTTGAACTAGAGGTTCGACTAGGTGTGTAGGGTTTGAACCAAGGTTTTAATCGAAGTTCGGATAGAGGTTCGGCTAAGGTAAGTGGGGTTTAAACCAGGGTTTGAATCGAGATTCGGATAGAGGTTAGATTGGGTAAGTTAAGTTTGAACCGAAGTTCGGGCAGAGGTTCGACAGGGTAGACTAAGTTTAAGTAAAACCGGACAGGAGTTCGATAGGGTAGGATAGGTTTAAGTAAAACCGGGCAGGGGTTCGACAGGGTTAGATATGTTTAAGTAAAACCGGGCAGGGCTTCTGTCGCGCCCCAAAATAACCCCTAGGAGTTAAGGGATACTTTAGGTGTGACTATACTTAACCTGGCAAACCATCCTGTAATGAATAAGGCATAACATGATGTAATAGGAATATAATACAGAGTGCGGAAACTACAATATTGCGGAAGCACAAACCAACTTTTTCTTTTCTTCTATAACTTAACAAGTATTCCAAGTTAATACAAAATATGACATGTAAAGGTGGACATGCCCACCTAACAAAATACAAAAGACAAAATACAACTCTATCTCGCTCAATAGTCACCCCCGTGGGGTCAATGGTTTAAGTCTCTCGCCTCAGCCTGAGGCTCAACTACCGAGTCTTCATAAGGTTCTTCCTCGCCGTAGTCTTCCTCAACCCAAGGACCCGGGGCACAAATGTCGAAAGGGACTCGTGTACCTGCCGACATAAAAGTACGGCTGAGCATGGAATACTCAATGAGTACAAGCTCCTAGCTAACAATAATAATAACGGGCAAAGCATCATATGCAAGTACTGGAAGATACAATTCATACTCATTTAAAACAACATCATACATAATCATTTATTAAATCACAACTCTAATGAAAACCAACCATATCTATAAAACACATGAGTTCCTTGCATATTTCTTATGAGCCAGAGGTTAGTATCCGCACAACCCTGTGCTACCAACCTCCTTGATAGTACAGCACTTTAGAGTCTTTCTTATGAGCTAGGGGTTAGCACCCGCACAATCCTGGGCTACCAACCCCCTTGTCAATTCCAATACTTTTCTTATGAGCCAGAGGTTAATCAACCTCCTTAATAGTTCACATCCTTCTTATGAACTAGAGGTTAGCACCGCATACCCCTGGGCTACCAACCTCCTTGACAATACCATTCTCTTATGAGCAAGAGGCTAGCACCCTTAACCGGGCTACCAACCTCCTTGACAATACAATACTCTTAAACCTTTCTTATGAGCCAGAGGTTATCACCCGCATATCCCTAGGCTACCAACCTCCTTGACAATACCATTCTCTTATGAGCAAGAGGGTAGCACCCTTAACCGGGCTACCAACCTCCTTGACAATTCCAATACTTTTACATGTGTGCTTATGCATAGCTATTTGTGAAACATGATGACATATACGATTTGAGAGGTAACATATATCATTTCCATTCTTATCACATTCATATGAGAATTTAATCAAGCATATAGAAGTATGACTACAAAAGCCATTTTAGGGAGACTACATGATTCATGCTTCTCGAACTTCATTCAACTCAAGGTATTTTCATTCATGCATTTTACCAAGCAAGTGGTGTTCTACATTTCTTTTAGTCATTTAAACTCATAATTTCTTTCTCAAGTATTTCATCAAGCATCACATGTGCATTTATTATGTGTACAATACCCTCCACCATTTCCATCATTCAACACATCACAACATGGCATCCTATCGCCTCATTCCCTTCCTCCATCCATAAATTCCAACATTTATTCATTTTGTCTTGTTTATGTTTTAGGGATTTAGCAAATGGGAAGATACAACACACTATAATCACAAGAAACTCTAGGTTATTACCATAGTAGCTAGGAAGGGTGTACTAACCTTGAAAATGAGGGAGGAAACCCTTGTGAATGCCAAGGGAGACACTGCCCTAGCTTGGAGAGGGAAACCCATATGTGCTTGAGGGTGGATTTGAGGATTCCAAGCCAAAGGGATGATCTTGCGTCTTCAAAACCCTTGATTATCTTCAAGATAGTGCCCTAGGTTTCAAAAACCATTTTCTTCTCTCTCCCTTTTCTCTCTAAAATTCTCTAAGGATGGTGTGTGGGGACCAAATGCCCAAGCAAGCCTTTATAGGCAAGGGTTTAACGCTCAAAAGACAAAAAAACCCTTACTGAAATTTCTGCAAAACGTGATGACCAATCGATCGGTGGTTAATACCGAGCGATCGGTCGCCTACCGAGGGACCGGTGTTCTTAACCGAGCAATCGGTCAAAAACATGCTCTCTGGAAAAATTCTCCATACAAAAAAGTTAACCAGTCGATAGCTATTGATCGATCGGTTTTAAACCGATCAATCGCCAGTTTGGACCAAGCGATCAGTTGTGGACCGATCGATCCCTAGTGATCGGTGCTCTATAGGTTTTTGCTGTTTCGGTCATATCTTTTGACTCGTTCGTCGAATTTTGACGATTCAACTTGCGTTGGATTCGTCTTTCGAAAAGGAATATTTCTAGCATTTCAAAATCTTCAATTTCTCCCTTATTTATTAATTAGACTACGTGAAAGGCCAATTAGCTACGAAAATGCTATTCATTAAGTACGAAAAAGTCCGAGGTGCTACAGGTTCGACAGGGTAAGATATGTTTAAGTAAAACCGGACAGGGGTTCGATAGGGTAAGCAGTCTAAGTATTTACAAACAATAAAATAATTAAAACTAATAAAAGGCAAAGCAAATGTCAGAGTTTGGCGATATTACCTTCTGGGAAACCCAAAAAGGTCTCTGAAATAAGTGCTCCCGAGAATGATCTTCAAAATCGAATTCCCGAGATCACCAATGCTAATGAGAGGCTTTTTGAAAGAGGAGAGAGAAGAGAGCAAGTGAAAATGGAAAATGAGTTGTGAAAAAATTGGGTGGGGCATTTATAGGAAGCAAAAAACAGGGGGCACTACTTGAAGTAGCACCCCTTTTGGATAAAAACCTGAAACAGTAGGCGGCAATGAACAGTAGAGTGGTAAAATTGGACGAAATTGTGGGAGCGCTACTCCCTAGCTAGGTTTTTGCAAAATACACTGCCGACACGCCCAAAAGAGAACAGGCCCCTCTAGGGGTGATATTTGAAGTATCGCCCCTAGCTAGGGGCCAAAAACTTTTTTTTTTTTTTGGTTCACCACGTGTCACGCTCCGATTCGCTGAAAAGCCGTTTTTCTGTTTTTAGCCCGAAAATAGTCAAAATTGAGCTGATAAAATCCGGAAAAATATTTTAGATAAAATATGGATTTTCCAGTACTTTTCAAGGGCGTTTTGGTCATTTTCTACCGTTTTAAGTCCAATTTAATTCCAAAAATAGCCAAAATTCATCAAAAAATTTGTAAAATCATTTTAGACAAAATGACAACTTTTTAGCACTTTTTCAAGGGTATTTTGATCATTTTTCACCTTAGGAGCATTTTGGTCATTTTTTACTTGAGGGGCGTTTTTCGGAAGTTGAAGCACGTGGAAAGAGTGTTTTAAAAAAGGGTTTTTAAAAGAGTTTTTAGAGGTGTACAAAGAGACTAGGGGGTGCAAAATTGGGGTGTTTACAATCCCTAACACTTAATTAAAATTTTCATCAACTTTGTATTAAGCTTGCACATGCACACACAACTATATATATATATATATATATATATGGTGGTTCTACACTCTTATTATAAACTCTATCCTCATATATCAAGGGTAACTACAAGGTTTGGCCATTTGAGTCCACCAACTTAATGGCTCTTGTGGCCAATCTTCGTACCCATCAACAAAAGATTAAAAACGCCCCAATACACATACAAATATTGCTATCAACACAAAAGATATCCATCACATATATTTCTAGAATGGTTGGTTGAGATTAAGGGTGTGTTCATTTAGGGTGAAAGTGAGGGGAAGTGAAGGAAACCAGGAGAAACCCCACAAATCTCCTTGTTCGGTATACAAGAAATCCACACTTTCTAGAGAAAAGTGTTTCACTCATTCTAAATTCCAGCAATTTGGCGGAATAGTGAGAGAAAAGAAAGTGGAATAATTTGTTTACCAACTCTACCCCTCTCTGCAATGTTGATTTATACATTTTTAACATTTTATATAAGGGGCAATTTTGGAAGAAATTATATTTTCTCTTAAACATTTCTCTCTCCAACTAAACACGCAAATACTACACTTTTCCTTTTTATTTTCTTTTATTTTACTTTACTTAATTTACCTTACTTTACTTTCTCTCACCAACTTACCCTCTAACCGAATGCACCCTAAAGCTTTCACAAAGAAATAAAATGGATCCAAACTCGTATCATAAATCTCCCAAAAATGTAAATGCACAAATAAAAATAACTAGAGTGCTAGCC